TACGAAGTGATTGAGCGCATAGGCAAAGTAGCTTACAAGCTAGAGTTGCCTCAGGAGATGGCATCTATCCACAACGTGTTCCATGTGTCAATGTTGAAGAAATATGTACCAGATCCTTCACATGTCATCAAGCCGCAAGTAGTTCATATCCACGAGGATATGAGCTATGAAGAGAAACCAGTTGAGATTTTAGATTGGAAGATGAAGACCTTGAGAACCAAAGAGATCCCTCTAGTCAAAGTTCATTGGCGTAATCACAAGACAGAGGAAGCTACATGGGAACGAGAAGATACTATGAGAGCGAATTACCCAGAGTTATTCTAAGTTTCGAGGACGAAACTTTTTAAAGGTGGGAGGGGTTGTAACACCCATTTTTCTAAACCGATAAAATTCTTAGAAGTAAATATTAGGAGTTAACTTGAATAATGTTATGGTGTTATATATAGTTAATTCTAACATTACATTGAGTTATATTTTACAAGTGAACGCAACGAGGACTCGAGGCGCTAAGAACAAATTCATGCCATGTTATAGAAATTATATATATATATATATATGTTCAATTTTTTTAAATGATTTGATAAATAAATATATGTTCATGATATGACATACTTCATGTTATAATGTATGGAATTAAGTGTCTTAGGAAAATTCTAAGTTTTTCCTTAATTTTTCTTTTTAGACAAAAGAATCATTTCCATGACGTTAATTTTCAACTCTATTTTGGACCTTTAAAATTCTGAAATTATTCCATTAGTTTATACAAAGTTGTAGAGCCTTTCATAAGCTTTCCAACGCCTTTTCATTTGTGCAAATCGGACATTGGAGTAAGAAGAAGTGGCCAATATATCATCCGAATATCCAGCACTCTCCGACCAGGTTACTGCACGCTAACAAGAACGGAAATTCTAGAAGTTGACCTAACTTTTTTATTTCCTTTCCACACGATTTTACACTCTAATGACAACTCTATTTTGGACCTTTAAAATTCTGAAATTATTCCATTAGTTTATACAAAGTTGTAGAGCCTTTCATAAGCTTTCCAACGCCTTTTTATTTGTGCAAATCGGACATTGGAGTAAGAAGAAGTGGCCAATATATCATCCGAATATCCAGCACTCTCCGACCAGGTTACTGCACGCCAACAAGAACGGAAATTCTAGAAGTTGACCTAACTTTTTTATTTTCTTTCCACACGATTTTACACCCTAATGACAGTCATTCCCCCAGCTGTTAAGGGGTCATTTAATCACAGAATTAATCCTCAATTAATACCAAATTAATCCCTTTTAATTTGGGAGAAAGAGGAAAATAGGCTAAGATTTGAGATGAATTAAAATTAATACGCCAATAGTTTACATAAGTTAATAAATAGGCCAAATTACTGTTTTCGTCCATAACTTGTCTGGTTATGAACCATAACTTGATAAGTTATTGTCCATAATTCACGGTTTTTGTCCATAACTTGTCTGGCTATTAACCATAACTTGACAAGTTTGTCAATAACTTATCTAGTTATGAATCATAACTTGACAAGTTATGGCCTATTAATTTCTATAACTAAAAATTGGCCTATATACTTTCTTAAGCTTTTCATATTGTCATATTTCCTACTATTTCTAATTTAATTTTATATTACTTATGAGCCAATAAACATTTTCAATCTCTTACTCTCTCTCTCTTGCCCTCTTTGGCTTAGTTTGGTATTGCTTTTCCATCCCAAAATCAGCTTTTGCTTGTAGCAGAAGCTGATTTTAGTGTTTGGTAAATCTCCTTAAAAGTTCTTTTTGAAGAATTTTTTAAGAATCTACAGTCAAAATCAGAAGCAGCCTAAAGACAACTTTAGCTTTTAAATTGTGCGGGAATCAGCATAATACAATTAATAAAACTTTCATAATACCCATAATACCCCTAATGAAATTTAAAATTTACAATCTTTCTAATTTAAAATTCAGACTCGTAAAATAATATAATATAATATAATATAATAGTAATATTGTAACAAATAATATCATAATTATATTAATGTAGTGACCAAGAAAATCCCAGAATTTTAATAATGTGATTCATGTATTCAAGTCAAGGATATTCTTGGAAAATCATTATACTATGTACATTTTGTGATTGAATGATTTATGGAATTAACATCTGCATTCCTAAATTCTGTAGCAGATTTCACGTTAAGTTCACGTTTTTCCGATCAAGCAAATTCGATCGATAAATTCTCACCGTGCTTTAAAACGGTAGAATTTCCAGTACATATACAGTTAGAGAATCTTAATTTTAAGAATCTCCCAGCACAATACAAACTAGCATCCAGTACCCGTATAAAGGAGAAAATAGCTTTCAGTATAATTTTGGACAGTTTTAATAAGTAACTTAAGGGAATGGACAAAAGTACAAAGGGTAGGTTAGTGTGTGTGATGAGAGAGGTGAATAGGACTCATGATTAGTTTTTTTTTCTCCTTTTTCTCTTCACTTGGCCGGCCATCTTCAAGGGTTTATAGCCAAAAATTTTGGTTAAATGTTGAGTGTGCTAGAGGGTTGATGTGATAGTAATGATTGAAAGGAAATCATGACATTTCTTCCTTCACTCCTTCTCTCACATTGGCCGGCCATCTTCAAGGGGTTTAAGCAAAATTTTTGTTAGTTAAGTAGACTAAAGGAGGTAATAACCTAGTGGTCTATAAATAGAACCAATGTGATCTAAGCCTAACTTTTGCTTTACCTCACTTCCTTCTCCATATCCAAAACCGGTTCTCCAGAGCTCTAACCCTCAAGTTTTCTAAACTTTCCCTCACCAAAACCAAGCCATCCCTTACCTCACACACACTCAAAAGTTCCCATAAATCTCACCACAAATCCTAGTTTAAGTTGAAGGAGAAAAGGAGGAGTCTAGACAAGCATTTCTCCAAGGGTAAAAACTCTAAAATTCTATCGTTTTTTTTCATGTTTTAGTAAAGTTGGAAATGTAGAAATATTCTTCTCAAATTTCCTTATCCTCTTCTAGTTTCAAGCC